AGATATGCAAAATGCTTAATTGCAAAATGTTCTGAAACACTTCCACATATATTTCCACAAACTTTATCAATCACTGTGCAGCTGGGGGAGCCGGACTGTAGCATCTTCCAGCTGATTTGTACTCAGCAAAGCCCTCCCTGCTTTTTTTTTTTTTTAAAGACAAAAATCCAGGTATCACTGCTACTGAGCAAGAGTTACGACGTTTGCAGACACTGATTGCTCTTCCCAAAGCAGAACACAGCCACATCTATTATGGAGCTTCCTTACAGCCGACATTCTCATGTGCAGAGACAGCCTGGGCCTTCACACCCAGGTACTGTTTCTATCTCATTTTCAGATATTTGTACCCTAATTCTACAAAGCTAAAGCATAAGCCACTGCTTGGCCACTCCCATGGTCTTGTGTGTTTCTTGATGTAAAACCAGAATAACAGAGAGCACCACCCCCAGCAGCACTTGATTCAATTACCAGAGTATTCCTGCCTCTTACGATTATAGAAGACACATAAAAAAAAAAAAAATATATAAAACACTCTTCTGTGTTATTCTCAGACCATCCTTCTATGCACTGATCTGTGCATTTTCTCCCAGAAAAAATAACCAAATGCTTAATTAAAAAAAAATTAGGTTCCAATTTAAAAAGAAAATAAAATTTAAAATACAGGTTCCAAACGTGTATTTATCCATTTCTCTGTGCATGAATTATTACGACAAGCTATGTTATGATTTTGTCCATTTCTTACAACAAATGAAGAGGGTAAGGTAGAGAAATCTCCATTCACACAACTTGTTTGCATAATCCTGGTACTCTTGACCTGCTGATGAGCTCTATGATTTGTGTTCCAGCTGCCAATACAGGGAACAAGACCTGTCCAACAAAAGGATGCTCAGGCAGCTCCCTCCTCTCTGCTCACGATACAAGTCTCCCTTTTCTAAGCTTTCATGATTTCAATTCTTTACTTATTTTCTGTGATTGTGTCTTACGCCATTCACAAACTATTCATGCTAAACCACTTCACAATCTCTCGAGCTTCCCCCTAATTCCTCTGATTTTTCCCAACAACAACTCTTTTTAAGAGAAGAGCACACACATTACTAAAACTGGGGATGACTACGCATTTCCACAGCAGCTTAATAAGGTTTTGCGCTTCCACAGAGAAAAACTGAAAAATCAGTTTCTTCCACAGCCCTATTTAAGAGCAAGTATGATGAACCAACCTTTAATTAGAAAATTGTTTGCTGTTTTTCCTCAGGACATCAATTCAAATTCAGTAAAAACACGCTGACGTGAATATTCTTAGGCGCCAACAACTTTGCGTAATATCAGTATTTGACTGCGCTCCGAAGTACAGAGACAACCAGGTCAGTTTTGAAGGTGAAATTCTGCAGCAACCAACTGAAGGTTTTTGAGAGAGGGTTGAGAAGATTTCCAAGGGAAGTTCAATTTATATCAGACAAGTTAAGAGAAAATCGGAGAATCGAGAATTTAAAAGCCTACGCAGAAAATCACTGATGCTTTTACATCAAGGTGAAAACAGATTTGAAAAAATTTTCACTTGCAGCTAAACCGGCTTGAATTCCCAGAGCATGGAAATACTCAAAACTGTTCCTAGAAAATTAACTTATTTGGCAGATAGGAAATATACTTCTACCCTACCAAATCCTCTACTTGCCAACGAGGGCGGTGCTGAGGATCGTGATGATGCCTCCATGGAAAAGGCAAGTTTCACCACCACAGGGGTAACACCAACTCTGGCACTTGGCAAAAGTTTACTCTACTGTGAAATTTCTATCTTGCTTTTTATTAGAGCAACCCCTGCCTCACTCAGGAATCAGTACTGCATCACCAAAATGCATCACAGGACTCTCCCCAGCAAAATCTCAAAATTAAATTCTTGTTCATCATAACTCCCTATTACTAGTGCTACTGTAGTCTCCATCAGAAATACAGAAGAAAGAGAGGAGAAAGTAAAAAGGAAAAATTCAAGAAGACTCACCAAAACACCAGTTATCCCTGCTTTCAAAGGGGCACTAACCAGAGAGTGCTCAGAAGTGCAAAGAAATCTTTGCTGCTGAGTATTCAACGAACTCTCTGTCCTGGAAATTATCTATTTCCCTTTCTCACATGAGATCTTGAGGAAAAGATGTATAGATGTTGCACAGGCACAATGAGATTGTCTTCTTCCATCTTCATTGAGCAATCATAGAATCACAGAACAATCCAGGTTGGACAAGACCCTTGGGATCATGGAGTCCAACCATTGACCCTACACTACAAGTTCACCCCCAAATAATCAGCTTCACGGTTCACACACCTTTTGTTAGTATTGCAAACTGCTCTGGAACTTTCCAGATTAGTGTTACTTTCAAATAATCACCAAAATTTTCAATCCATTCCTAAAATTGCATTTTAGTGTAATAAAGTTAATATTAAAACTAGCAGCCAATATAGGCAGATGCTATAATGTAATGCCAACAATCTAAGAATATATTCCCAAAAGAAGCTGTTAACGTGTCCCATTACAAATTTTGTTGGATTCTGAATTTAAATATAGGCACGTTTCTGAATATGAAGTGGTCAGTCAAATATAAAATTAAATACTTTTCTTAAACTAGAAACTTTCCAAACATGAAAGTGTGCAGGACTCTCCCTGAAAAGGTGCTTCATTCACCACAGGTGTATTAGCTTGCACAGATTAAAAACTAAATTGTTAGATGCAAAAAAAAATCCTGGATGTGTGCCAATTTAAAGCCCAAAGCAGATTTGTTACTACCCTGATAAAAACCCATGTATAGAACAGAATTTCATTCTATCCTTACTTAAACAACTGTCTGGCTCCGTAATGTCTATACAACCTATTAAAAAGTCTAAAAAAAGAGGAGGAAGAAAAAGTTTTGGGTCTTTCAAACACCATTGTACATGCTTCCTCTCAATAACTTGGACCAGTTTTACCCTACTTGGTATCTTCTGTTCTTAAAAGTGACTCCGATAATTCCCTCCCACACAGATTCAGTATTAAAAAAAAAAAAAAATCTAATTTTTCTTCTAATCTATATTAAAATACACTTTTTGTTAAGTTCTCTTTAGTTTACGTCCTGCAGGGATCAAATACAAAATGTTTTTGATTGAAGTGACTGAGCTTCACCGCCTAATACTGTAAACAGAAAGACCTTCTTGGCCAGACAGTCACACCAACACACAAGGTAATTTGCTACTGCTAAAGAAAAACCTGAATCAAAATCCAGGCTGCATCAGACCAAGTTTTTACATTTACTAGAAGCTTTAGAGAAGGTCTCATGTGTCCCCTGGAATGTTATAAACCCTTTGCTTGCACAACCACGAAGCCAGAGAGAGAAGATAAAGGCAGAGCAAGGCAAGGCCCACGGCACGTAACAAGGGAAGAGGAGGATAAAAATCCCTTAAAATACTGGCAGTTCCAACAGAAAGGACCTTCCTCCTGTTCAACAGCAGTTCCCATGATAGATTTTACACCTTCAGGTAGCGGAAACCTGACCTGTCAATCCATCTTGCCTTCGCTAAATATAAAAGATCAAGTTCTACAGGCGATTAAGTTCATTAAACCCAAACCCTCTGACCCAAATGGGGAGATTCGATGAAGTGAGAGGTAACTGCTGTTCACTGCAAGCAGTCGTGATTTTGCTCTTGGTTCTTCAAGATATAAGGATTAGATTTAAAAAAAAATATATAATAATTTTAAACAAAGAATAATTAAGTAGAAGTTCTCTTCGGAGCAACAAGATTTTCAGAGCAAAGGCACAGTAGAATATATGCCATATCTAAGCATCAAGGCTGAAATACACCCCTCGCAGCAGACAAATCAAATCCCTAATCAGACCAGGTAATACCTGGTACAAATCTAGTAAACAGCTCCATCTTTCTTGCTCGGCACGTTTCCAATTTTTCTGTTATTATAATTAATCCAATTTATGTCAGTAATTATAAGAAGGGCAGAGACAACTGCTTATTGTTAGGAGGCCTATTATTTCACAAAACAAAGTAAAAGGAATTTTATGGCTTTCCACAGTAGCATTACAAAGATCTCACCAAAAAAAAAAAAAAAAAAAAAAAAAAGCTCTCCTTAGATGCTTTTGAACTAAAGCCAAAAATGATTATGTGGTTTTATTATTCTACCTGGAAAGCAGCCACAGCTTGCTAGGTATCACTTCTGCAAGTATAGCTCATAAGAAAAGTCCAGCTGGACAGCTGACCAAAAGTCATACATTTGTAGAAGAGAGAAATGACAGTTCTGGGGCAGCAGTTTTATTAATTCTGCTAAAAAAAATGTTGTGCCATCTGCCAGAGAAACAGAGAATTGCTGCTTGGTTTAGAACTCCATAATTAGGGTTTTTTTAAATTTATTAGATTAGGATTAGCATCCTCCAAACAGGACTTAAAAAGCAGGCTTTATTCATGTGCAATGTACTCTTGTTAAGCCTCAGACAATGAGCTGGTGGGAATATTTTTTGCACTATTTCTGCTGCAAAGGGGAGTTGTAGTTGAGAGGTATGCCTAGCAACAAAATGTGAATAAAAATGAGATTTTTAAACCCTTTACCTGTGTAATTAAGCAAGACCAGAGAAAGATAAGGAGAGATGTGGAAAAGGTACCCAAGAGTTTTAAAGCAGAAAATGCTTTTGCCATCAAAAAGCACTTACAAACCATTATCCCATTTCCAGTGCAAATCTCCACCCCAGACCTGTTCACAAACCCCATACAAACAGCTCTCAGTTAACCCATTGCTAACATTAGGGGTTTTTTTTTAGTTATCATGGTGCTAAATCCCTCCCTTTCCAGCTCAGTCTGCCCTAGGCTGAAGCCTGAAACAGCAGCTTGCTCAAAACCCCAATGTTTTCCTTCCCAATAGGAAACTCCAGTATTTTAACATTTAGAACCCCTCTAAGAGACACCATTCCTCATCATTTAACTGTGCATTAAAAAAAAAAAGCTGGTTTTGGAAAGGTGCATGCAGAGAACTGTACCTCATTTTCACCACAGTCAGAAGGTGTATCCTTGTGGATGGCCATCTGATACTTGGCAAATAAAGTGGCCGATTGGTTGAAGGATGATTTGAACTGGGGGTCCTCAAAGGAGACAGGTACTAACCTCACCTTCAGAGCAAGGAAGATACAAGCAAACTGTTTTGAGCGCAGGTAACCAGGTAATACGCTTCTGAAGGTAAGGCTAGTGAAAGATCTCCTCCTATCCACTTCAAAGCCTTTGAAGTCAGTTTTATCCTGCAGTAACAAGAAAAATGCTCCTGCGGGGGCAAGTCTGACACCTAAGGATAAGTTTAAACTGACTGTTGGTACTTTCATTAGAGAATAACAACTAGAACATTAAAGCACCAGTTTGGCCAACCTATTTTTTGACAAAGCTATTTCAAAAATCAACGACAAATTTTATTTTCACTGTCCAGTCTCAAGGACTTATTTAAAAATGTATTATTTTTAATGGCACATCGCTCATTGCCCCAGCATAGCAACGACATGTTCTTGCTACGTACACTTCTTCCTCAAACTCCCAATTTTTCTTCTTTCCTAGTATGAGAGAGGCGGTACGAATGACAGGGAACTATTGCACATTGCCTGGCCGTTACAAGAAGCAGTAACAATGTGCAATTTAGGTATGTCTGATAAATTTGTACTCGCTAGTTCCTCCTTGTGGAAGCATTCAAACCAAAGCGAGCGAGACCAGTTATCAGGGTAAGTGTCCAGCTGGTTTTGGTTCTCCTAGATTTGTATTTAAGGCCCACAAAGTCTGTCTCCGCAAGCCTTGTTCTCTCCATCTCTTACCCAACAGCACACCCATGTAAACTTCCCTAACTTTTTGCCTGCAATTAAGTGGCACTCACAAATAGAAAAAAAATTGCACTTTCAGGACGTTGATTTTATTTGATCCAGTACTTCACAGGCTCCTGAATATACGATGGGTATAAGATCCACATTTATTGCTCCTAGAAACCAGACACATGAAATGGTGGGGAAGCTGAGCTTTACATAAAATTCGTTTGGCCTTCTGACCTGATTTATAGTTGGTTTATCAGGTGGGTCCTTGTGAATAACCATCTGGTAACGCTTATAGACCTGGTAAGACTCCTGAAATGTGGCTTTGAACTGTGAACTTGGTGGAGATGATCTCACCACCCTCACCTTCAGAAGAAGTTAAACACATTTATTACTACAATATCATTCAGTAATATATATTTATACATACACAAACATCATACAAAGAAAAATCTCGACTTCTTGCACAAGGGCCCTAACTAATTAATATTAGGCAATTCTTTGGCTCACTTTAGGCTACTGAAGGCTTTTATATTTACACTGAATAACAAGGTTTTCAAACTACAAATTAAGGTAACTAAAATGCTTAGAGAAGAACTACACAAACAGTTGCCAGGAAATAATATCAAAAAACGGTATGCAGAGAAACATTTTCAAGAGATTTTCTGTACTGTTTAAGATCTCCTCTCAAAGAAAAGATTCTTCTTACACTGTACTGAAAAATACCTGAAGGACTCCAGCATTTGGAAGACTTGTCTCTGTGCTCTTTAGATAAAGACTAAGTTTTTATTGCAATAATCCCAAGAGGACTTCTAGATATTTTCAAACCGAAAGAGGAAACGTTTCCCTATTCAACAACGAGTTAATGATAGTAGGAAGTTATCTGTCTTCCCAATCAACATCCTTACAACACACAAAATCACTTTTAATAAGATATATCTAGAAATTAAAAATTTTTCTTAGTAAAAGTGACTGCTTCCTAACCAGAAGCATATTATCACATGAGCAACAATATACTACTTCTTTCCAAGCATATTTAAGGATAGATTCATTTCAAGACACACTTAATTTTCAGCATGGTTCTATTTTCACAAATAGCGTTGGTTCTGATCTAGGAACATAAAACAAACAAACAAACAAACAAACAAACTCACAAAAAAACCACGCACTAGACATAGTAAGGAGCGTAAAGGCAATCTGGGAAAACACTGCTAGAACGATCATGATTCTCTCTGCATCTTCTAAATGAAGACGCTCAGACAAAGCCATCATAGTTTTGTTACACAATTCATCAGAAAATCTGGAGGAATTAGTGAAATTAATCAATTTCACAGCTTTTTTTAGTTATTCAGGATGAATCTTTTAAGTCATCACCGCTACCTCTCTGAATAATTACCCAAGTAATATTAAAAATTTAATATTCAGTACCATCAGTAATAAGCAGTAACTACATTAAAATAATTTTCCACCATCCAAAAAAAAATAAAAATTGTTTTATGATTAACAAATGTTAGAAAGTCCAAAAGTCTTACAGATGACTGTGTCTATATTACTAACAGATTTAACGGCAACCAGTATATTAAGCAGAATTTCCTATCATCACTTCTACTGCTTCCAAAGACATCAAAACACACCAAGGACATTTGCAAAGAGCAGCTATCTTATCTGTTTAACTTTATGAACAGTTACTGCTTTCTTGTCGAGATTCATTAGCATAGATAGCTTAAGCATTTATACGCTGCAGAACTAAACATTGAATCCCTCTCATCGTTCGACACTCCGCTAATTCAAAGTCTTTCATTTTCAAGTCACACTGTATGAAATCAATTTTCGTAACTGTACTGGGCTCAGCTACAGCTCAACACAAGTTCAAGAGTCCCCTCTTGTGGCTGCAGAGCTCAGCTGCACCACATGTACCTATCGTGCAGCACCACAGAGATTTCAAAATTGAAACTCTAACCATTCCAAAAAGTCACAAATACTAAACACTTCAGCATTTCAAAAATCCTTAACCAGACTGTTCTTTAATTTGCCTCCAACGACAGCGAATGAGACGTTACCTCAAGTTTGTGCCGTGCGTCAACAGGTAGAGAGACAAAAACAAAGTCTTCAATGGTTTTAGGCTGGTTTGGTTTAGATTTAGAATTTTGCAAGAGGGAAACTTGATCTCCTCGGTGAAGTTGAGAGCCTTCAAGCGTGCACATCTGGTTCTGAAGGAGTTTCTGCAGTTTTCTTTCTTTCCGTATGTCCTTCGCTTTTCGACACGGTGGCTTGCTCAGGTCAGCTCCTTTTCCTACCAGGG